TGGTGTGATTTTGAGTGCTTGGAGCCTAGTTGAATGCCCAAAATTTAAAAATATGAGGGCTCCAAGCAAAACAATGTCTCCATTTGGATGATCATAGAGCCACCTCTGGTGATTTGGTTTGAATCTCGAGGCTATGAGTGTCGATGCATGAATGACTTGGTTGTGATTGAGAACAACCTATGATGATGACTAAGATATGCAGTAGGATTGTGTAAATGTTCTGTTTTCATGTGTTTGTGAACCAATGGATGTTTTGGATTGATTACTCAGTCTTTATAGTTTCGTATGCATCAAAATTGGTAAGTCATAACTAATGATAGAGCATATAGGTAGCCATGTGAGAGTTGTGCCTACTCATTTCTTTCTTGTGTGATAGATCCCTCTTACCATGACACATAGCGTTCACGTTGCCACTAGTGACGAAGATGGATGCATAGGAGTAGTCCATGATCCTAAAATTGATCGTCCCGATCATATTATCCCTTAGTCAACCCTTTTGAGCAATGTGTCTTGCTATCTTCGTGTCTACACCATTTTTGAGTCACCATTGTTTCTTGAAGCTCTCGTTACTTGAGTTTCGTTGAGGTTCCACATAGTGATTCTTGCATGGTTTCTGCTAAATGTGAAAGTGAGTGTTGGAAGAAGTTCTTAAAAGTGAGCAGGTATTCATAAAGTTCAAGAAGGTGGCATGTGTTTTTAGCTTTCAACTAACCCTCATTAAATAAATAAAAAAATAAAGTGGGCAAAGAAGAAAAGGAGTTGCCACCAAAGTTGTTTATGCTAAAAAAGAGTGTTTCTTAGTAGTCAAACTTAGAGACACCTACATGATTGTTTACCTTCTTCACTCTTATGCTTAAATTTTTTTGATAGTAGTGGTTGCAAAGAAAGTATGTTGTGAATGGTTGTTCGTGAGTGCTTGTGGTTTGGAATTGTGGAACGTGTGGTTATTAGTTGTGTGATTGGTCTTTGGTTGTTGTAAGTGGTTCTAGGTTGTTGAAATAGTGGAATGTCATGCTATATGTTCCACCACCCAAAAAGCCTTTTCCCCATGTCCTAGACTCAATCCAGTCATCTTAACCGGTGTCAAGACCTCTAGACAAGCTAGAGGTGACACCCATCCTGTGAACACTAGCATTTAGAGGCTACCGTAATGGTGGAGAGACGATAGGGATGAGCGTAAGTGTATGCACATCTTTTGCATCAACATGGTCCTGACCCCACTGGTTGAAAGTGAACGATTCTTTCTTCATATTATCATGTACCCCGGTGAGGACCTAGATTGCTCGGTCGTTTGTTCTGATGACTTGATCTGTATGCATGGATGAATGTGATTGGTGAGTCTTTTAGTCAGGTTGTGTATTGGTTTGTGAACAAGGTGAGAACTCTTCCTTTCCACGGTTTTACTTCATCCGGATGTCATTTGTGGTGGTTGTCCAGATTGTTGTTGCTACTGCTCATATGTCGGTGCCAAATAGCCATTGTGATTCACATGTTTTGTGCCTCTATGACAAGCCCCCAAAGTTTTCAAGAAAGAAGTTGTTAGTTTACCTTGTGTTGTACTTGGTTTTCTTGGGGACAAACAAACATTTAAGTGTGTGTGTGTGTGAGGGGGAGTGGGGCGGATTCTGCGTATTTACAAATGTTTTACCCCTTTATATCTTGAGTGTTTGACTTGGTAATCGACATTCCCCGGCCTATTTTATGCTAGGTTGTGTTTTATTGTAACATTTCATATCCTCAAACGTGTGGGAAGGTCAATGACGAGTTCTCGGTCATTTGGAGGTCGAATCGTGCCAAAAAGTGAAGAAGATGCCAAGATCCCAGCCTGGACGTTAAGATCAAGACCTCATGTCGTGAACAACGCAAGTAGGGCGTGACCATAGTACGGATCCAAGGGCCAAGTTTTATCTCGGGGCACTATTCACGTCACGGCCTCAAGCCATGAGCCCATGACAATAACCGGGAGGTCGTAATGTCAACGCAGTACTCTGCGCTTTCAGCCGTGATCACGGTATGGTCATGGCCAGGTCACGGCCGTGACCTGAGGCCGTGACTCACGCACAGTTCAACTATAAAAAAGGCAGTGTGGGTTCTGAAAAGAGAGCTTGGTTTTTCTTTTAGGGTTCCGATCCAAAACACCAAAGACGCATTTCTAGAGAGAGATAGTGATCTTGGGTGATCTTGGAGCTTAATTGGAGGTTTGGGTTGATCTTAGAGTCCAGGGTTCGAGCCTAGTAGATGAAGAAGATGGAGTTCTTGAGCTATTTTGTAAGCTCTCTCTTCTCTTTATGAATTAGCCCTCTTCTCCTGGTTGAACAACCCTAGGTATAGATTTTGATTGTTCATATTATCTATTGGATGGATGTTTGTTATGGATTGCATGATTTTGGATTCCATTTCATGCCATTTGAACTTTTGATTTAGGAGGGAGAAAATCCTCTTTTAGCCCATTCTTGGCAATTAAGGTTCCTCTCATTCTATGTCGTCCTGGTAATTCTCTGAGGGAGTCAATTTAATCCATCTACTAACGATATAGGGTTTCCCTAGGTTGAATAGAGCACCTGCCAATCCATCACTTTGTTGTTCTAGGTCAATCCTGAGGGAGTCGATCCCCTAACGGTAGAGATATCGAGTCAAATGACCTAGGATGGTACGCAACATCGGTCTACATGATGGAACTAGGGGGATTCAAAATAAGAGAGCTCCAAACTTGTAATTATCTAGGATAGTGGTTAGTTAGATAAGTTTCCAAATCGGTATTCTAGGTTGGCTAGATAATGAAACCTTAAGCTAAAGTAAGGTACATCTAGAGACCCTTGGTTTGATAATTTTATTACTTGCTTACCCTATACTACACTCGGTCGTGGTTTGAACTTGGCCTTCGATTGAGAAGTTGTAGTTAGTGCGAGCCACATGTCCTGCCACATCCATTCGAAATTGAAACCAACTTCAAAACTTTATTCCTTGCTTCCAAACCCAAGAATTCATAGATGTATGTGGTATACTCCAAATAGAGAGCGTTTTCATCCTATATTGGTTAATCCATGCTACCCAAAAACTGCCTCATTGTATGAACAATAGCCAAATCAGCCTGCCTACACAAGCCACATTTCAAGTATAGAAGTCTCGCAATCCCAGCCCTCCTTTTTGCAGTGGCCAAAACCAATAAGATACAAATAGATTGGGGATAAAAACTCAGTGGATAAGTTCATTATCAGTTTGATCGGTTTTGGTTAAAAACCAAAAAAATCGAAATCGATATCCGATCCCTAATTCTAGTATATGTATATACATATATGAATCGACTTTATCCATCAAGGTTTCTATAGGGACTTTCATGTATATGTTGGAACTGTGTTGAATGATGTGGAATGTGGTAATGGTACTTGTCGTGTATCATGGTCTTCAATATATTTTCTGTAGAGTTGGTTGTGTTAAGAGATGTTTTTCACTGGTGCTCTAAAAAGGGTCTCCGGGACATAGTTTTGGAAGGGGATACAAAGGTGATATTTGACAAGATTGTCGAGAATACGACGCAAAATACTCGTGTAGCAGCAATTCATGAAGTGGTAGCAAAACTTTAGGATGCATTTCCTTGTTATATATGTTGTTTTGTTGGTGGGGTAAACAATAGGATAACTCGTTTGGTGGCTAAATATACCCTTCCTTTATTTCCTATTGGTGGGATCGGATTTTGATTTTCGTGTTTGACTTGTGTTAATTATGTAAACATTTGTTCATGTTTGATTTGGTAATTCCATTGAACTTGTAACATACTAGGCAAGTGTATGTTGCAAGTCTATGTTACAAGGTTGCGAGCAGCGGCAACCGCACAACCCCAAGTCGAAATCCGTGTGGGTGTAGAGGCCCAAAGCGGACAGTATCTTGTCGGGAAAATGTTCGGGATGTTATAAGTCATAAGTGGTATCAAAGCCTCTCTGCATCCCTCTTGAACGATGGTGGGGCAAACCTTAACGAGGGCGTTGAGTCCCAAGGGGGGGTGTATTTAACACTTTAGGCAAGTCCCACATCGACAAAGCACAGGAGAGATCCATGGTTCATAAGTAAGAAACATAAAATCGTAATATTTTAAGTTTTAAGTTTTTGGGGCATCCATCTAGGCGTTGATGACCTAGAAACGTAAAATCGTAAGATTTTAAGTTTTAAAGCGTAGATTTTGACTACATTTATAAGGGAAAAGTGTGATTCTACTTAGAAGCGCTTTGGTGACTTAAAAGTGTAAAAGCGTAAGTTTTTTAAGTTTTAAATCGCGATTTTGACTGCATTGTGGAGTACAACAAGGATGGGTGCCCTTATGGGAAGTCATCCTGAATTGCACCCCAAGGCAAATCCGTGCGAGTGTAGAGGCTCAAAGCGGACAATATCTTGTCAGAAAAAGGTTCAGGATGTTACAGAACTTTAGACAAAATAGGAAAAAAAACTTGATCTTTATATTGCTATTTTATAATTTCTTTCAATTTCCTCAATTATACATTAATACTTATACTTATTTGAACACATTTTTTCTTTGTATACTAGGAATCAAATACATTCACGATTCACCGAGCCAAATTCTTCAAACTCTCCAACTAGAAACTCCAATCACAAAAGTTGCAAACAGAGCCGATATATTTTACAGCTATATTGCAATTTGCAAAAAACCTAGGAAATATCTAAAATGAATTGTATCAATCCTAGATTTAACTTTTGTAACGGTATCGAAAATTCACATATAATTTAACTTTTGTAACGGTATCGACTTGACCCGTTTGGCCTGTTTTGGGGGGGGGGGGGGGGGGGGGGGGGGGTCGGACCCACCCTGTAGGCGGGGCGGGCATGGGTACTCTCATCGACCCAACCTGCCCTGACCCCTCTCATTCTCGACTCGTTCTTGACTAAATTATATGTAATCTTAGTCAAATTATTTAGGAATTTTCTTTTATTACATCTTAATTTAGCAATAATAAAGTTGTAAATTAGTGAAAACCTCAATTTCTCTAATAATTTAACTACATTTATCATAATATTGTTTGTTTTCTTGGTCTTATAATAAAAATAATGAATATTTCTAATATTTTTCATATAAATTGCATACTGCATACCCATTGGGTCGACCTGCCCCGACCTGCAACTCGTGATAAATTACCCGACCTGCCACGGGGCGGGTCTGGGTACCAAGAAATCCGCCCGCAGCTGCCCATTACCATTGTAAATTAAAAGCACAATATCTTAATCATAGATATGAACACATTTCTTAATAAAGTGAATAATGTGTTTTATTGTTGTGTGATAATGTGTTTTAAACACTTGTTATATCATATGCACAAACTAATTTGTTGAGAAACAAGTTACTAGTGGAAGGCTCAAGTCGGAGAATCTCTTAGGACTGATGATCAGTAGCGCTGCTCCCAATAATAATATGCTTGCTGGTTCCTCTCTTTGATCCTCCTTATGAAACTTGAAGCCCTTTCATCAATATCGGCCTTATCACCATCACCTCTTAATCGAACCCCTGCTGCTACAGGCTTCTTCTTGTGTGGCCTTCTAGCCTGTTGATGATTCTGCTGATGAGCAAATGAGGACAACAATCCATCTCGATCGCCGGCGGCAGTGTTCGGACGCCGTTTGCCTGCAGGAGGAGGCGGCGGCGTGGGCAACTTCGGAGTCGGTTTGAAGCTCAAAGCAGCAAGGTAGAGGAAGGAGCAGTTGAATATGTTGACAGCCAGCTCCATGGATTTCTCACACAAGGATTTCTTCCTCCTGTTCCTTCCATCTCTCGCCACCATTATAAATTGGGATATAAAGAAATGTCCCAATTTATAATAAAAAGTTGGAAGAATTCAAATGAATGAGGGATTGATCTAGCGATAATATTATATAGATGACTTGCAGTGCGCTATTACAATTTACAGAGAAAGGGGAAGAGGCTTTTTTGGGTTGTTGCCGTTTTCCCAGATGGATGCCCCAAAAGTGTACGCAAATGTCAAAATCTGCCATAAACTTTTAACAGGGGATTCCAAATTTCTAATTATATATTATTATCCATGCAGCAGTACAACACTAGTCCAGATTCTCTTCTTCTTCTCTCCGCAACCACACACCCTGATGATCTGTGTCTATGAGTGCAGAATCTCCCATTCGTGAGGTCTCTCCTTCAGTGCCGGAATGAATAAACTGGCTTTCGTCGTTTCGTTTGTGGAGGATGGAATTTCGTTATATCCTTTCTTTGCTTTCGCTTTAATTTTGTGGGTGTGTATTCCTTTCCATCTTTAATTAGCTCGACTGGAAGTGGACGGCACAACTCCAAAAGTGAAGTGAAGTTGCATGTTCGAGAGTCGACATCGTTCATCAAAGCTCATGGACAGCTCAACGCAATCCAGTCCAGTGCATGCACCACTGTCTATCAACTGATCAGTAAGTTGACGCACTAAGTACATAGCTAAGTGATTATGCAGGTGCCAGGAGAGCCCCAAGTTTATAATTAGGGTTAATATATTTGTATGGTCCGAACTTTTTACATATTAAATATCTCGATCAATTTTTTATTTATTTATAACTTCGTGGCCTCAACCAGTGGCGGAAGGAGGTGGAAGGGAGTGCGGTCCTAGGACCCCACTTGGATAAATTAAAATGGTTGAATGTATGTACATACTTGTTTAATTTGAGTAGATTTAGATTTTAGAATTTAGGACCGCATTCATATGGAATTTAATTGTCCTAGTATTATGAAACACACAAATAAATGATACTATATTGGTCATATATTATTGAAAATCCCCAAATTTATAATCCTTATTGTAAAAATTTCTAATTCTACTAAATAAGTGTAGAAAAACCTCCAGCTATATCTAAAAAGCTCTTAGTTCACCAAATGTTTTCTATTAATATACAATTTCTTTTACTTAATAATTGAATACAATGCTATAATTTTTTTTTACATAAATGGGACCCCACTAAACTTGAACGCTGGCTACGCCACTGGCCTCAACTATGCATCAAAGTTACGAAATTGGCCAAACTCGAGATATGACCGTTATCTTGGACGGTCAAACACGTTGACTAACGATTAACTCGCCACGTCACTGGCAAGTCACCTATTACCACTTAAATTTTTTGTTTTTTTCACCTATTATCATTTATCTTTCCCTTTTTTTTATTCTTTTGTTCAAAATAAAAAAAACCAATGGTAATAGGTGGAGAAAACAAATTTTTTAAGTGTTCTGTGTTAACTTGGTAGTGGCGTGGCGTGTTGACCATTAGTCAACGTGTTTGACAGTCCAGGATAACGGTCGAATCTAGGGGTTGACCAATTTTGCGATGTTTAATATGTGAAAAGTTTGGGTCAGACAAATATATTAACCCTTATAATTAAAGCAAATCATCACTAGGAAGAATTTAAAAACTTTAGTTGTTCTATTCAGAGTTGAAGGATGCATTTTTCCAATAGGATATTGTACGCCATCCTATGCGGTTTTACTTTTAGGGTGCATCATGATAACTTTCCAAGAGGATACTCATCTTTACACTGCTCCAAACTGAACATGTTTAAATTTAGATTTTTTACAAGAACTCTTCAATTTCACTCCAAAATATGTCTTGTGAGTTATTTAAGGATGGATTGTGCTTTATGAACCATGAATCTCTCTCATGTTTTGTATATGAGGGATTTGTCTAAAGTGTTACATTACACCCCACCCCCCATTTTGGACTCAAAGTCCTCGTTGATGTAGACTCTATGTTTGGTTTGATACAATTGTGTTTATTTCATATATGTAGTGTTTGATTTTCTCTATTTCGTTATTTGTCGATTGAATGAGATTACTCGACCTTGCACTCCTTTGAGGTGCAAGGATCAAATCCAAGCCACTCAGGATGAGACTAGAAATAATCGTCCTAATCGATGGAACGTCATTTGATCGAACGACCTGACGCCTCAAAGGAGAAATCCGAAGTGTCCTTGTCACCCATTAGTTTGAGTGAGTGCTTTGACACAAGGTGAGATCTAACGAAATACAAAATCGACAGCTCGTATGTGCCATATATCGAGGTTTTGATCCAAGATTATAGAATGACGCGCTTATGTGAGTTTGGCTAGCCAGATATATTGGCATGTTTACTCGCCTATGTCGTTAGAACAAATACCTTTGTTCAAGAACAATATGGGTGCCAGGATAGTACAACATGACTCGTAGTCACGTACAACTTGGGAGATCGTGCCCTCGAATGCGCGGTAAGCGGATTCTCTTACGACAGGCTAGACATGACTTGATAGTGACAAGAACCATGGTTAGGAGACCTAGGGAGAACTTGCTTATGCAACGCCTTCCTTCTCTTATCTCTCACTCATCCAGTAGCTTATATTTACTTTTCTACACTACATACTTTCGAATTCTTACGTTATGCAAAATGGGAGGCACCTCAACCTCCTAAACGACCTCTTCTTCAATAAATCTGCACCTCGCTTTCGGAGTAAGGGTTCTAAGAGAGGACCTAGGGAATAAGATTGACACGCCAAAACACAACACCAAACTGCGACCAAGTGTAATCGCAGTCCGGGAATGCAGTAACAGGCAAGTTCTATTATCAACCCGGGGTCTAGATCTACTGCTTACTCCGTGATTATTTATTATCTAACCAACTAAGTCGAGTGATTTGTGTTTAAACTAAAAGCAACAAGAAAGCAGGAAATTATTCGGTTTTCTCAAGCAGGAATGAGTCCCCCTAGCTCCTTAGTTAGGTTCAATTGCAATTACCCTGGGTTGATTTATTATTGATTAGACCTCGGAAGATCCGACAGTAGCTTGGAATCTCTTAAGCTGACCAAGCCCTCTCAGTCTAACTACCCGGCAGACGACTAGTCTTCACCGAGATAGAAAGCTGAAGCAGTAAGAACAGAACTCCACTACTGGAATTGGATTCCAGTACAAAGTAGTAAACTGGCTAACTCTCGTATAGCCAATCTCCTACTACCGAATGATGAGACTCTAGCAACCTAATCAGATTCTATCTATCTCAGATTGCAGCGGGAATCAGGAAAAGTTGATCAGACTTCAATTGACTCAATACACATGCATCATTCGATTAAAATCAAACAGTAGTATCATCCCAAGTCATTACAATCAATCCCTAACACATAGAACTAGGGTTCTTCATCCCCAAGTGAGAGAGGGGTTCTACTCCATAGAGAGAGAGAGAGGAAAACAGTAATCGGAGTAGTCATACTCATAAAGATGAGGAAAATTTGCTCCGGGATGATGATTTCCACTCCTAAGACGATCTCCAAGCTCGATTCGATGAAACCCAGCTCCAAGATAGCTTCTAGGATGTGTTCTTCGTACTTTCTCTCTCTAGGGCTCTATTTTTGCTCAAAAAGTCCGATTTTCTCACTTGTGGCTCGAAATTGGCTGAAAAACCAAGATTTCCCGACTCGCACGGGCAGGCCACACGGCCGTGTGGCTCACCCAGTTGCCCGTGCGAGTCAAAACGCTGTGTTCCAATTAGTTCGATCTTCAGGCTTCCCACACGGCCAGGGTCGCACGGCCGTGCGGGATTTCCATCCTGCCCGTGCTTGCTCTCGACGAAAACCACACAGCCACAAATGTGAGTTGCACGGCCGTGTGATGTCCAGGAATGCCCGTGCAGCTTCCTTAGCACCTCGTCACGCGTCCGATTTTCGTCCAATCGACCCCAAACTCGCTTCCAAGCCTCCATTCACGTACTAGGACCTGAAATATCACAAACAAGCACAACCTAGCGTGAAATCGGCCTAAAACACGAGAATCAACACCTCAAACGGTGTAAGAACAGGGGTAAAAACATGTGTAATTAACGGTCTATCAAACTCCCCCACACTTAACCGTTTGCTTGTCCCCAAGCAAACCAAGTCAGATACAAGGTAAGCTTACATATTTCAATCAACCAACATTGGGGACAAGTCATAAAGGCACAGAACACGTGGATCGTACTAGTTTTCAAACATCAATACCTGACCAACTTCAATAGCAACCCGGACAACCACCACAAAGGACATTCAAGTGCAGCAAAATCGAGTAAAGGAAGAGTCTCCCTTCTGTTCACCAACCAACCTAGACTTAACTCAACCACTTACTCAAAACTGTCAACTCATGCATCCAACTCAAGACATCAGAATAGAGACCGAGCAATCTAGGTCCTCACCGGGGTACAAGAGTATATAGAATATGAAAATGAATCACTCACTCTCGACCAGTGGGGTCAGGACAATTTGATGCGAAAAATGCGCATGTTATTTCTCTCAATCCCTAACATCTCTTCACCATGATGGCAGCCTCTAAATGCTAGGGTTCACATATGGGGTGTCACCACTAACTAATCAGGAGGTCTTAGACACAGGTTCAAATGACTGGATAGGGTCTTGGACATGGGGAAAATGCCTTTTAGGTGGTGGAAGTATTCATAGCACAAGGTTCCACATTTCCAAACCCACACAATCACAGTCAAACAACCCGGTATTTCCTTTCTGCTATTCTGCATTACTCAATATCTCAAGAGCACAAGAGCGAAATAGGTATAAATGTCAGCATTTCCAAGCCAGACTGCTAAGAAATACTACTTACTGGGCATTATTCAGATTTTTTTGTAGTGGCTCTCTTTGCTTTCAATTTTTCTTTGTTCTTTCTTTCATTTTCTTTCCATTTCTTAAGAGAGCCACCACTTCTGCACATATTTCAAACACATGCCCAACCCAACTTTTAAGCACTACCTCCAACACTCACATCAAATTTAGCAGAAGTAGCAGAGAATATGTAAAAAACCACTCTGTGGAACCTTCTACAAGATGCAAAGGGTGATTTTTTCATTTCAGACCAAAAGAAAGGATAACACACGGCTCAAAAGGGCTGACTAGGGGATATGACACATCAGGACAGTCAAATTTGGTCGTGGGCTAATCCTATGCCCCCATCATCTTAGCTAGTGACAACGTGAATGCTACACATCATGGAAGAGGGATCTATCGCACAAGAAAGAAACGAGCAGGCTCAAATCTCACATGGCTACCTATATGCTCTATCTCACATTCTGATACCCTGAACTAGATGCAAAAACGATTGTCAAGAACAAGTAATCAATCCAAGTCACAGTTGGTAAGCAAACAGTTGAAAAACTGAACCCCTACACAATTCTACTGCACGTCTCAGTCCTCATCATAGGTTGTCCTAGTCGCAATCAAGCTGTCATGCATCAATCCGAAAACCATTCAATTCACCAATCAAAACACAGTGCCAATATGATCAAACAGCAGTACTTGGAGCCCTCAAATCGTAAGATTCGGACAGCGGACTAGGCTCCAAGCACCCAAATATATATTCCAACCGATACAAAGCACCCCCCCCCCCACACTTAAGCACGACATTGCCCTCAATGGAGTAGAGGGAGAGATAAGGGGAACGATGTTACCGGATTGAAACTGCTGGGGGACTGGAAGTGGACCAGTCAGCGAGAAACAAACGGGAAGATGGACAGTTCTGCACGAATCGAACACCAAGAACACACTAGCACACGTTGTGTTAGGGATAAGTGTTAGCCCATACGGCTACAGCAAAAACAATCCACAAAAAAAAAAAAAAACAAACGACACTAAGTTCAAGCTCCTCACACATGGAGCAAACACACAAAAGTCTAATACGGAAAACAAAACACACTGAGATGGGCAACGAGTACAGCCTACTCGTCGCCAAGATCACCAAAGTCGATGTCGTCCATGAAGGCGTCATCACCAGCAGCACCATCATCACCATCCGCGGGGGGAGGTGGAAGTGGAGAGTCCTCCCAGGGAGTCCTCCAAATGGGCTGCTCGCCCGGTAGCAGCCGGAGTAAATGCTGCTGGACCTCCTGCATGCGCCGTGAACGGCGCCTCTCTCGCTCGATGTGTGCGAGAGTCACTCCCTGCTGGGTCTGGATCTGGTCCAATCTCTCATCGTAAACAGCCATCCTCTGGTGGTACCCGGCCTGGTGAGCCACGTACTGCTGCTGGAACTGCATCTGATGGTCGAGGATCTGGTGGTTCTGGAGACGCAGCTGCTCGAACTGGGAAGTGAAGTAATCCTGCCCCGGGAAAGCGGAGCTGCCAGCTCCGTAATGGAAGTGAGTCTGTGGTGGATCAACAACAGCGTCCACATCCTCAGGCTCCATATGATCAGCAGCCTCATCCTCCTGGCCCTCTGGCTGGACCTGTGACTGGTCCTCCGCGGGGATCTGAGGTTCCGGAAACCCCTCGATCCATAGAATGCCGTGGTTCTCTCGCAGCAGGTGCATGTGCTTGATCGTCGACCTGCCAAAATCGATGGTGTCCCCCTGCTGTGTGCACCCCTGCAGGGAAAGGCCGAAGTAGGTGGCCAGGCGGGTGATGAGGGGGGTGCAATGGAGACTCTTCAGTTCCGAAGTAGTCTTCTCGAAGGTCCTGGCCACCACCGAACCCAAGTGGAGGGGATGGTCGTCCTGGCGGATCGACTGGAGGAGGCACAGGGCCCTCTTAGTGATGGCGCTGGCGGAAGCTGGAGTATAAGACTTCGCCAGCAGGTGGTGGAGAAGGCGGTTGTCGAGCTGCAGTGTAGTGGCCTTCGTCCTCCCAGCCGAGAATGGACGTGTCTGGCCTGGCCGAGCCAGGCGGGTGTACAGCCTCCTGAAGTCCACCTCTGGCGGGTCGTTGACCTCGGTGACGTAGTCCGCACCGTCGTCGAGGTTGAGAGCCTCGGCCAGCTCGTGGTAGCTCAGGGACCGTGGGGCGCCGCCTAGCCTGAATTTGACGGCTGCACCGTCTTTCCAATCGTCCGTGGGTGTGTGCTTGAAGGTCGTGTAGAACTCAAGCACGGGCTCATAGTAAACCTTCTCGCAGATGGAGAGCAGACGGCGCCATGAGTGGTTGGTGACGGCGGCGGAGAGTTGCTCGTAGCAGTGCAATGTCCGAAACTCCCGTTTGGACCAGCAATGGTGCTGCCCAAACGGGCATTTCAGGACCTGCTTGAAGCGATCCTGGGCAGGCCCCCTCTTCAAATCCCGGATGAACGGGTGCTTGAGGTCGGGTTTCGACATTGTCCTGCAAAAGAAAAACCCAAAGTGGAACCAAAAGAGCCAAAGAAAGGGTCAATTACACCCCCACACTTAAGAACTGAAAACAGCCGAGCCATGGTTTCATCCATAGTTCGGGGGTCAAAAACTCGATAAATCAAGCATAATCTGAGTGGGGGTGCACATTCACGATAAAGTAGGCAACTTAAGGTTCACATCCATAGCAAACACACCCTCAAAGCACATCAATAAGGGTCACAACCGGTGCCCACAACATAGCATGAAAAACAGGCATTTCATCGAACACCTTGTGGGGGGTTTTGTCGCGGTTTTCCGGCAAGGTTCAGAGGATTCCGGCGAGGATTTTTCAAAATTATGACCACTCGGCCGTGCTGGCCGAATATATAGGCCGTGGCTCGGCCACACGGGCAGGCCCGCACGGCCGTGCGAGGTGCAAGTTTGCCCGTGTTGGCCGACACGGCCAGGCCGAGGAATACCACACGGCCGTGCCAGTTGCACTTTTGGCCGTGTGGAATTTGTCGAGAGCTCGCACGGGCAATGGAAAAAATACACATGGCCGTGCGAGCAAACGAGTTGCCCGTGTCGGCCACACGGCTAGGCCAGGCCAATCCACACGGCCGTGCGAATTGCACTTTTGGCCGTGTGGAATTTGTCGTGGGCTCACACGGCCAGGGGATAAAATCCACACGGCCGTGCGAGAATATGGCCTGGCCGTGTGAGCTGCTGGAGCCCCGAATTCAACCTGTTTTCACCCAAAAACAACATTCGACTCTGGAACAACATCTCAAGTCTCAAAAACACAAAAAAAAAAACAAAAGGAAAAATGTAAGAAAATGCAAACCTCGGTGGGGTTGCCTCCCCACAAGCGCTTCTTTACCGTCTTTTAGCTGGACGCCAGTCGGTGGATGCTCAGTGAGGTGAAAGAGCAGGTGCCTTCAAGAGCGGATCCACCTCACTCTTGAGGTACAGCTTCAAATGATGGCCATGCACACGCCGAATGTGGCCACCAGCATTTGCCAACTCAACTTGGCCATCTGGCAGGATGCAAGCGAGTGAATACTCGGATGGCCAAGGTGGGGGCGGGACCAGCTCATAGTGGTCTCCGACTTTCTTTCGAGCAGGCTTAGCTGCCTGCTGTTTCGGCCGCCACTCCTCCCTGATTTGTTCCTTCGATGACGGAGTGGACGGGAGTGGCGGCGAAGGTATGGGAGGCGGATCCTGCAAAATAGGCAACACAGAAGGATACACTACAGACTCGTGCTCCTGGTGAGATACAGCATGCAGAGGTGACGAAGCAGGACGAGTATTAGAAATTGAAAACGCTATTTGCTCCTCACCATCCCTCAAAACTAAGGTCTCATCATGCACATCTATGAGGGCCTTGGTGGTGGCCAGGAAGGGCCTTCCCAGTATCAGTGGCACATCCACATCCTCATTTATGTCCAAAATCACAAAATCAACAGGATAATTGAATTTGCCAACCTTAACCAGAAGGTCTTCCACTATGCCCCTAGGATGCACTACAGATCGGTCAGCTAATTGAAGGCTCATCCTAGTAGCATGGGGTTCACCTAGGCCTAGTTTCTTAAACAGTTTATATGGCACAACATTTATACTAGCACCTAAATCCGCCAAGGACTTCTCTACATGCAACTTTTCTATAGAGCACGGGATAGTAAAGCTACCTGGGTCCTTCTGCTTCTGCGGAAGCTTGTTCTGCAGAATGGCCGAGCACTTCTCGCTGAGCTCCACAGTGGCTAGCTCGCTCAGCTTCTGCTTCTTTGAGAGAAGGTCCTTCAGGAACTTCGCATACTTAGGCATTTGAGATAGTGCCTCCAGGAAAGGTACTTGGACATTCAGCTTCCTAAGCATTGCCATGAAGTTCTCGAACTCTGCCTCCAGCCTGTCTTTGTGCAACCGAGTAGGGAAGGGGAGTTTAGGGATATACTCCTTCACTACTGGTTGCGGTTTAGGTGCATGCACCTCAACCTCCTTCTCTACTTCTTCTTCAGCTGCTGGAGATGCCGAGGCAGGGGCCTCTCTCTCTTGTGCCCGAGCAGGTGGGTCAACAGTCATCTTGCCACTCCTGGTC